CCACGCTGCACGGGGAGAACATGCAAACTCCACGCAGAAAGATCCCAGTGCCCCCATTGGGACGTGAACCGGCGACCTTCTCGCTGCGAGGCAACAGAACTCAATCAATCAAATTTTATTTATAAAGCGCTTTTCATACATGACATGCATCACAAAGTGCTGTACATTACAGAACACAATCAGGACGGATCAAGGGATACAAAATAGAATACAAAATAAAATACAAAACCCCACCCACCCTCCCAGCCCACATTTAACACAGAATGCCACTCATGCCACTCATGCACACACACACACACACACACACGCACACAGATGCACACACAGGGACACCGAGTCAGGTCTCTACAGGAAGCCACAGAGGACCGAGGAAACGCAATCTTGAATTGAAATGGGAAAACACAGGAGCAAAAACAAAAATGATAAAATCATAAGATATACGAAACTAATAAAATGCTAAAAGTTGAAAAAAATAAAAAATTGTTTAAAACCAAACTATAAAAGAAAAAAAAAAGAAAAGTATTAAAACATAACATAGTAACTTACTGACTTAAGTGGAGTAAAATCCATAAGATTAAAGGAGTAGACTAAAAGAGAGGCTAAAAGAACAAAACCAAAATCAGCTAAAAGCCAGATTAAAAATGTAGGTCTAGAGTTTGCCTTTAAAAATATAAACAGTAGGTGCTGCCCTCAGGTCTTCAGGTAGACTGTTCCACAGACGGGGGCCATAATAGTGAAATGATGCCTCACCATATGTTTTGGTTTTCACTTTGGGGACTATTAAAAGACCACTACCTGAAGACCTGAGGCCTCTACTGTGCTCATATGATAAAAGCACATCAGATAAATAAGAAGAACCAAGACCGTTAAGAGATTTATAAACTAATAAAAGAATCTTAAAATCTATTCTAAAAGATACAGGAAGCCAATGCAGAGATTTTAAAATTGGTGTAATGTGAGCTCGCCTTCTGGTATTTGTCAGCATGCGTGCAGCTGAATTTTGCAGCAGCTGAAGCTGTGAAATGTTCTTTTTCGGAAGACCAGAGAGAAGAGCATTACAATAATCAATTCTGCAAGTCATAAAAGCATGGATAAGAGTCTCTGCATTGGCTTGAGAGAGAAACTGGCGCACTCTGGAGATGTTCTTAAGATGATAAAAAGCCTTTTTGGTAACATCTCGGATGTGTGGCTCACAGCTGAGATTAAAGTCAATTGTAACTCCCAAGTTTTTCACTTGTTTACAGGGATTAAAAGACAGTGCTTGAAGTTTGTTCTCCAGTTTCTCTCTCTCTGGACCTGTACCGATGACTAAATCCTGAGTTTTCCCACTCATAGCCATTTCCCACATGTCCTCCCACCATTCTTCTCCCCAACGTTCCTGTCTCTCTCTCACTGCACTGTCAAGTAAAGGCACAAAGGCCAAAAAAATAACTTTAAAAAAAATTTTTAAAAAAGTGTGGGGCCTAAAATCGAGCCCTGGGGAACGCCACATTCCATTTCATAGGTTCTTGATGAGCGTTCCCCAGGGCTAATATAAAATTTTCTGCCATTTCGATATGTCTTAAACAAGTTAAAAACAGTACCAGAGATGCCAATGCGGTTTTGAAGTCTGTTTAAAATAATTGTATGATCCACTGTGTCAAAGGCAGCACTCAGGTCCAACAGGACTAAAACAGAGATAAATCTATTTTCCATGTTAGACCTGAGGTCACCTATGATTTTGACCAGTGCAGTGATGTTTTCTAAAACCTGACTGAAATATGTCACCAATATTTTTTAGAAATCATAAAATCACTTAGCTGGTTAAAAACAATCTTTTCTAAAATTTTGCTTAAAAATGGCAGGTTGGATACAGGTCTGTAATTATCAGGAACTGCTGCATCCAAGTTGTTTCTCTTCAGAAGGGATCTGACACAGGCTGTCTTAAAGGCAGTGGGAAGGACCCCTGTCTGAAGAGAATAATTAACAATATTAATAACTTCATCTTTAAGATCATTAAAAGAGGTTTTAAAAAGGGATGTGGGGATAAGATCTAAAACACAAGTCACTGTTCTAAGATGGGAGACAACCTCTTCAAGCTCTGCAGCATCAACTAGGACAACCCTCTCCAGTGTTTCCCCATTTAAAAACACAGACTCAGAAGAGCTAAAATCACCAGGCTTACAGTTTAAAAAGTTTGACCTGATAAAATCAGTTTTA